GCCAGCATTTGTAGGATTAAAATTAATGTCAAAAACGTGGCTGTGTTGTCCTGAATTTACAAGGTCGTCCACGGTCTTTGTCTCTAAATGGTGGGGGGGGTGGGAATGTGTCTACAAGAAACTTGGCATTTCGCTAGCACCTTTCCCGACCGCAGTGCGTCGATGTATTTGATGTGAAGTGCAGCTGTTGTGACAAGCGAGGTACGTAACGGGAAACCAGTTTGCACAAGGTAAGTTCGCGCATACATCATCATCGACAAAAACGTGTGTATCTGCACATGAGGGTGTGTAGGTGTATCTCAGTGTGTCTGTGTTTGCGTATCTGAGTGTGCGCACGTGTGTATCTGAGTGAATGTGTGTGTGTTTCTGAGTGAGTGTGTATTTGTGTCTGTATGTCTGTGTGTTGTATCTGAGTGAGTGTGTATCTGAGTGTGTGTGTGTGTATCTGAGTGACCGTGTATATCTGTGTGTGTATCTGCATGTGAGAGTGTGTATGTCTATGTGTGTATGAGTCAGTGTGTATCTGAGTGTGTGTGTCTATTTGAGTGTGTGTCAGGTATGCACATGAGTGTGTGTAGTACATCTGTGTACGCGCATGTATGTATATATCTGATGAGTGTGTATGAGTGTATCTGTGTGTATGTGAGTGTATCTGTGTGTGTATGGGACTGTGTTTAACTGAGTTTGAGTGTGTGTGTGTATCTGTGTGTGTGTATATTTGTGTGTGAGTGTATATGTCTGTGTGTATCTGAGTGTGTGTGTGTCTATTTGAGTAAGTGTGAGGTATCTGTACGTGAGCGTGTGTGTGTATCTGATGAGTGTGTGTGAGTGTATCTGTGTGTGTGTTTGTATGTGTGCACGTGAGGTATGTGTGTATCCAACGAGTGTGCGGGTGAGTATGTCATTTTGAGTGTGTGAGTGTGAGTGTATATGTATATCTGACGTGTGTGTGTGTGTATGTGAGTGTGTGTGCCTGTGTGTGTGAGTATCTATTGTGTATCTGAACGTGTGTGTGTGCATGTGTATATCTGATGAGTGTGTGTGTGCGTGTATGTGTGAGTATGCGTGTGAGAGTGTGCGTGTGCGTGTGTGTGTGTGTGAGCATGTGTGTGTGTGTGAGCGACTGAGTGTGTGTCTGTGTGTGTCTGTGTGTGTGTGTGACTGAGTGAGTGTGTGTGTGTGCGCGTGTGTGTGCGCGAGTGTGTGTGTGCGAGTGTGTGTGCGTGTGTGTGTGTGTGAGAGTGTCTGTGTGTGTGTGTGTGTGACTGAGTGAGTGTGTGTGTGTGTGTGAGTGACTGAGTGAGTGTGTGTGAGTGTGCAAGTATGCATGTGTGTGTGTGTGTGAGTGTCTGTGTGTGTGTGTGTGTACGTGAGCGTGTGTGTGTGTCTGTGTGTGTTTATGTGTGTGAGTGCGTGTGTGTGAGTGAGTGTGTGTGTCTGTGCATGTGTGTGTGTGTGTCTGTGTGTGTAAGAGTGTGTGTGTGTGTGTGTGCGTGAGCCTGTGTGAGTGTCTGTGTGTGTGTGTGAGCCTGTGTGATGAGCGTGTGTGTGAGTGACTGAGTGAGTGTGTGTGTGCGTGTGTGTGAGTGTCTGTGTGTGTGTGAGTGATTGAGTGAGTGTGTGTGAGTGTGCGTGCCTCCCTGCAGTGGAGCCTTGCACAGACAGAGCGCACTGTCCTGCCCTGGGAGCAGGGTGGGATGGGGAAGGAGCTCCACCGACTGTTGACAATAAACACAGGCAGGTCCGTGTTTCCATCACAGGGCCAGCAAGCTCGGGGAGGGGGGGATATCCAGCCTGTTGGGAGTCATAGCAACACCCAGAGCCAGAGGGCACAGTGTGCCAACACCAGTTCCTAAAACACAGATCCAAATGTGAAACAGAGAGCCCTTCAAAGCCCTTCTGAGGGCCCTTCAGTGGAGAGGGACTCTGGGTGCTTGACTACAGGAGGCGTCACTCAGAAGAGGTGGAGAACATTGTTTCTTAATGTCGGATTCCTGGGGTTCACGTTTTCCTCAGGAATGCCCTCAAATTCTGAGTGGGATCTTTGCACAGCCAGCACTGTCCAGTCAAAAAAAATCCGAATTTTGGCTCAAGATTTGGTCAACTGACCAACAAATGTTTGGGAAGGTATTGGGGGGGTGAGGGAGGGTGGAGGGGAGGCAGCAGTGGGTTGCCAATGGTTGACTAGATTGGCCGGCGAGGTTGGCGGCGGGGGGGGGAGGGGGCAGGTCTTGGCCTAACCCCCGCGCGATTGAGAGAAGTTGCATCTACGTAGCGCCTTTGGACGTGGTGAAAGACCCTTCACGGCAGCCCTATCAGACGCACCTTGATTCCTGCGCCCTTGTAGGGTCCTCGGAGAGGTTTAGGGGAGGGAGTTACAGTGCACAGAGCACGCTCGCCCCGGATGGGCGAAGGCATGGGAGCCGAGGGCCGGGAATCTGGGAAAGGAGGCTGGAGAGCGTGGGGGGGTGGGTACCAACGGAGGGTCTATAGGGACTGAGATGAGGGAGAAATGTCTTCACCCAGAGAGCGGGGAGCCTGAGGGATTCTCCTCCCACAGAAAGTGGTCGGGGATGGAACATTGGAATGTTCTCAAGAAGGAGTCAGATATAGATCTAAAGGGATCAAAGGGGAGAAAGCGGGGAGAACAAGGGACTGATCAGCCTTTGATGGGCCAAGTGGCCTCCTTCTGCTCCTCGTTTCTGTGTGACAGACCGTGGGTGGGTGTTATAGAGTGCGGAAGCAGGCCCTTCGGCCCAACTCGTCTATGTTTCCTCACGTTGTGCATTCCTGTGATATTTCATCTCCCCCTCAACCTTGTTCCACACTCTACTGCACATTCCCCCCCTCCACAAAAATACTCCTGTGAAGATGGTGGGGTGGGGGGTGAATCTCCTCAGAAGACCCATGGAGGCATGACTCAGGCTCTGTAGGCTCGAAGCCTGAGGCCTTCTCCTGTAAGACACCAGAGTTTAAGTTCCCATTGCAAGGGGGTGGGAAAACGTCGGATTAGGAACTACAAGTCTGGGCAAGCCTGGAATGTGGAGCAGCTCCGTGGGAGAGCCCTGGGAAAGCGGCAAACAAATACAAAAAGGTCTGTTTCTTTCCTTTCCCAGAACAGTGAGCTCACCCTTTAAAAATGTCCCGGGGGGTGGCCAATCCCTCTTCCCCCACCCCCCCAACACGCCTGGTGACACACACACAGACACACACACACAGATACAGACACTCAGGCACACACAGATACACACAAACACATATACACAGACACATATATACAGACACACACACACCCAGATACACACAAACACATATACACAGACACACACACACACAGATAC